ATGATAATTTCCACAGTAAACTTATAATAACTCTAAACTTGATAGAACACAAATTTAGGTGGTTTTAAATCACTAGTAAGCTAAAAACACCGAGATGAAGATTTTGAAAGTTAAAGGATTAAATTCAATAAAATTTTAAAATTAAAAAAGTAAAACAAGATTAATATGCTTTTGTGTAAAAAATTTAACTTAATTGTATAATTACGTAAGCAACAGGATATGACGTCATACAAAACCGGGTTAGGCCGGCCATACCACTCCGGAATTTTGGTTCGAAGTTGGCATTGGGTGCACAACATGTGGCCCAAGGTATGTGCTGGTCGTGAGTTGGCTACAACACTTTTGATCATATTTTCAATTTTAATATTTAAAAGTTACCATGCAGTACAAATCAAATTAAAAATAACAAATATTATCTTCAACTTTTTTATTTTTTTCTTTTTTCTTTTTTTACGACAAAACTTGATTTCCATAATCTAACTCATAAAAGACATATGATAACTTTAGATGGGTTGATGTATTATGTGACAAGTGAGTGACAAAAATAATTACCGGTTTGTTTTTTTTTTTTTAATAGTTATATATATATATATATATATATATATATATATATATATATATATATATATATATATATATATATATATATATATATAAGTATATCAGTTTGAACAAAGATGTTGAATTCTAATGTGCAGTTAAAAAAAACTCTCTTATTAGTTTAGTCATCATAGATTTCAACATATTAATAAATTAACGTACTTTAATAATAATAATAAATTTTTGGATAAGAAAAACTTTTACAATATTAACGTATTTTTCTTATATTTTATATTATCGTGATAATACATATAAATAAATTTGAAAAGTAGGAAATAAAAAAACTATATTTTATAAAAATATAAATATTTTTAAAATTTTGTATTAAATATATAAATATTTAAAAAAATATATTTTCTTGTTATATAGTGATTTAATTATGTATCTCTAAAATTCCAATTGATTAATATTATAAAAAATTTATTGTTTTTCTTTAACAACTCAATATTGAGATTAATCATATCAAATATCACCTACATTTTACATTAACTCAACACCTAAACTAGGATAATGATATAATTTTTCATTCATGTAAGCATCACAAAATATTTCCCCTTTTCACATCAAGAATAAATAAATTAAACCTAATAGATATATAATAAATAAATTATCCAATATTTCACTAAGCTATATCTAATATTACATTCTGACATATATATTATAAATACTTCATTATCCTCCAAAAAAACTCATGCGTTAAATTATTTGTACTTGTCCTATTATATTTTTCAATAAAAAAAATTAACATAGATGCATAAATGAAGCGTATTTTCTCGTGTGACAAAATTAATTTTTATGACTTATTATATTTAGTTCTTTTTAACACTAAATCAAGATTAAAGATACATTTTTTAATTATCATCACCTAATCATTTTCTTTATGTGAATATAATATAAATAGAGTTAAAGTATTTATTTCAAAATCTTAAATTCAACGTAACTCTTTCCATTCCTAAAAACCATTATGTTCACATTTATCACACATCACATGTATTTAACATAAATAGATTATCATGCTCTAGTTAAATAAATTTTCAAACCATTCCTACCTACCATTATTGATTTCATTCAACCATGCATACAATATACATGTGATCATAACAAGTAAAAGATATAAATTTATAAGTTAAAGATAACATTTTCCCTAAAGTTCATAGTTATTTCTAAAAATTCGTGCTCGAAGGAAAATTTGATTGTCTTAACTGATTCAGACACAAAAGCTCAAGGTCATGAGAAAAAAAAAATATCTAATCGAAAATTCAGGTAGACTAATTACTAAAGAAAATATTAAAAAAATCTAATAATAATTACAATAGAAGATGACTTTTTTGTAAGAGACTCAATAGTATACAACTTGCTTAATTTACCATTTTTGGCAAATGAGATTTGATTGTAATTTTTTTAGTTTTCTTTTCCTTTTATTTGATTACAAACAAAAAAAAACCTTAAATTCGTATTTTATGTTTGTTGAATTAAAAAAAATATAACAAATTATTTATGTCAAAATGAAAATATATCTTTATCAGGGTTCTTCTTCTTTACATCTTCAATTTTATCAATAATTCACTAATTTTAGTAACAATCATCCTTAAACTTGTTAAACTTTGTTTATAACGTCTTTATTAACATACTACTTTATTTTGTTTCTTATTCCCAATTTTGTTATTTGGTTAATTCAATTCCAAAACCTAAATATCAATTTTTCATATTATTGTTTAACTTATATTCATGTCACAAACTCTCTTTTCTCTAAAATAATCTCACTTAAACGAAAAATAATCTAAAAATACCTTTCGAGACAAATAGGTTTCATCCCTCAAATAAATATTATACAGATAATATAGTTTTGCATAATTTTTCAAAACAATCATCAATCTCAAATCACTTAAATTTATACATATTTTGTAACCAAGCTATTATAACATTCAAATACATATAAAAAAAAAAATCAAATTAATAGTTTATCTTATCTTATAAGATCTTCCAAATGAGAATTTTTTCCATAATTTCCAAAATTACTCAAACTAATTTGAACTCGTACATACCCGAATACACAAATAAAATCCCAAACAATAATCTAGGTTAGCAAAAACTCAACCTTACACAAAAATTGAAATATACAAGCAAATTATAGGTACACACAACACTCAAACCCCACCTACTCTAATGAAGATTTTAATTGAATATAATTATCTTTCTTCACTCGCTAAGAGCACTATAGTGTGTAGAAAAAAATGAAAAATGAGTGAGGGATCTTAGAAAGAAATCAGAAAATTAGAAATTTAGAGATATAGTTACTTTTAGAAATGAAATTTAAAGTGTAAAAACTTTCTATTTAAATTATTTTTAACTTAAGGACAAATTTTAAAAATTTTACTTTATTTAACCATGAGTACTCTTAAGTTACAAAAATCTCTCTTCTTGTAAATATGTCAAAAAAATTATTATAAAATCATGATAAAATTTTATAATTAAATTAACTAGTTTTTTTTTATATTTTAACTTTTAAATTGAAGTTGTCTTGAATTTAAAATTTTAAAATTTAATTCAATTTCATCTTTTATTTTACTAGTTGTTTAAAATTCTCTCAAATTGTATTTTATAATTATTTTTTAAGTTCACAAACATTGTTTTTTTTTTTACATTTTTTTTATTGTCTTACCTTTTAAATTAATTTTATTATGTTTGAAGAAGATTGGAGTGAGAAACTACTTATTGTTTTTACTATATACAATTTTTTTTATCTTAAAAATTGTGGTAGATCCTTCTAAAGTTTTAAAATATGTTATATCCTATTTATATATTATTTAACTTTTTTTGTCAAATATTTCTTACAGTTTTATTTTTAAAAATAATTTTTATTGTTAGAAGAAGAATAAAGAAACAGATACCAATTTCTTGATTTTTTATCACTTTATCCTTAAAAATGTAATAAAATATTTAGTATGTCATTTATAATAATTAATAAAAGATAAATGTTGTAATTGATTTTTTATATATAGTTTTCTTATAATTTATTCGTATTTTTTTTTATTATTTGGAAAATAGTGAAGAGAAAAGACTGGATGGAGCAATTACTTATTGTTTTATTTTATGCATATTTTTTATAATCTTACCCTTGAGATTCGGAGGACTGCTCCTATCATTATGTTTAAAGAGAACAAGATGAATAGAGAGAGAGTGTGTGTGCAGGATGAAGGGTAACCAATTACCTTATAAAAAACAAGATATAATCTAATAATATGATAGTTATTTTTTAATTGTTTTAATATTTTTATTATTATAAAAAGATGTTTCGCAATCTTTCCAATAATTATTAATAAGGAAAATCTTTATCGTTTTATATTTACCCAAACTAAAATATATTTTTGTAATTATAAAATCTACATGTTAAGATTATCAGTTATTATTAACATAAATTTAAATTTTAGAAAGACGAAAATAATATGAAATTTTTTTAAAAGGCATATTTAATAATCCAATTTTTTTAAGGAACACAAGTCATATTTTGCTATTTATTAATTAAGTATATACTGTGGCCTACTTTAACTGTTCTACGTAGCTATATCGTTACGTTTTTTTAACAAAGTAAAAACAGAATTGAATCATGCCAGGTTGTTTCAATTTTGTTATTTTCTTTTTACCGTTACGAGACACGTTTTCATAACAGTTGAAAAAATCAGTTTCCGTCATCCTTTGGAATAGTTGAGAGATGATCTTACTAGTAAATTGATAAAAAAATATCAACTCGTTCAAATAAATTTTAATTAAACTAAGATTTGTAAAAAATAAAAATAAACAATCAGTATAACTAGAAAAGTTAATGTTAATTTTTATAATTTTTTAAGTTAAAAAATATACAACGATTAATATCTAAAAATAAATAAACTCCAATTATATACAAAGCTTAAAAAAAAAAAAAATAAAGAGTTGGGCAAACATATTTTGTTTTTGCATTTTTGTCGATTATTGAAAACTAAAAAATAATTTTAAAAACAGAAAACAATAAGGCCACAGCAAAAAATCTGTAATGACACCATCATTGAACAGAAAGATAAAATAAATAAAAAAGATATAAAAAAGAGCGCGTGCATGAGTAATGTAATAAGAGATTGTAAGAGAAAGAGAGGGGGTAGGTAAGGGATTGACCGGACCTCCTTCACGCATACACCATCCCCTCAAAGACATGTAATGTTTCATTTTCTCCTAAATATTATAAGCCACCAACCAATATATAAACGCCAAGCCTCCCTTTCTTCTCTCAGCTTGTCGTTCCTTTCTCAAGAGAACACCAAGCTGCACACTACACAGCTCTAAGAAGCAAATTCAACTAAATTCTCCATTCCAATTTCCAACCCTAAGTTTGCTTCTTGATAATAAATTTACTTAAGTCCTTTAATATGCATACCCTCACTCCACCTTACCCCAACCCTATCAATTATCTCAACCGGGCATCTCACTCTGTTATTCGGGTCTCGCCGACCCGATTTAGAGTCAAATGCAGTTACGGCTTCGAAACCGCGGGTTTCTCGCAAGGATTCGGTGTCAACCGAGTCGATTGGCAAAGCTCGAATGCCATCTTAGCCAGTAAAGTCATGTCGCAGCAGGAAGATTTTCCCGCCGGCGGCAGCGGCGACAACAACGTGGCCGCGGTAAACGGCAATAACGCTGCCGTAACGAATCTAAATCTCGTACCTGTCAAACAAGAAGGCAACAACAGCAAGCCGCTTCCGCCGAAGCCGCTCTCGATCTCCGACCTCTCCCCGGCGCCGATGCACGGCTCGCAGCTGCGCGTGGCGTACCAAGGAGTTCCCGGCGCGTACTCCGAGGCCGCAGCGGGGAAAGCGTATCCAAACGGGGAAGCCATACCGTGCGACCAGTTCGAGGTGGCGTTTCAGGCGGTGGAGCTCTGGATCGCGGATCGCGCGGTTCTTCCGGTGGAAAACTCCCTCGGCGGCTCGATCCACCGGAACTACGACCTCCTCCTCCGCCACCGCCTCCATATCGTCGGGGAGGTCCAGCTCCCGGTGCACCACTGCCTCCTCGCGCTCCCTGGCGTCCGCAAGGAGTTCCTCACGCGCGTGATCTCGCATCCACAGGCCTTAGCACAGTGCGAGCACTCGCTCACGAAACTCGGCCTCAACGTGGCGCGTGAGGCCGTCGACGACACCGCCGGCGCCGCTGAGTTCGTCGCCGCGAACGGCCTCCGCGATACGGCGGCAATCGCGAGCGCGCGCGCCGCTCAGCTCTACGGTTTGCAGGTCCTCGCGGACGGAATCCAGGACGATCCGAACAACGTGACGCGGTTCGTGATGCTGGCGCGCGAACCGATCATTCCGCGCACGGATCGGCCGTTCAAGACGAGCATCGTCTTCGCTCACGATAAGGGAACTTCGGTGCTTTTTAAAGTGCTTTCCGCGTTCGCGTTTAGAAACATTAGCTTGACGAAGATCGAGTCCAGGCCTCACCGTAGCCGTCCGATTCGCGTGGTTGATGATGAGAGCGAAGGAACCGCCAAACACTTCGAGTATTTGTTTTACATCGATTTTCAGGCTTCTATGGCGGAGGTTAGGGCACAGAACGCCCTCGCTGAGGTTCAAGAATTCACCACTTTCTTGCGAGTGTTGGGGAGCTACCCTATCGATATGACACCGTGGAGCCCCTCTTGTCCCCGCGAAGATTAACATTGCAAATTTCTCCGACGCTTCTTCCTCTTACACTTCCACTTCCACTGTTAAGTATAATTGTGCAAAATATCATTTCTATCACGCTTCATTTTCCATTTGTGACGGAAAAGAGGAATTTGTTTCTACTATTCCCTATCGACAGCGTAAATACTGTCACTTAATTATTTTTGAAGTATTTTTAATTAGTTAATAATGTATGAAAATTGATCTATTTCATGTTTCTTCGTTTTATTTGGTTACGATTTTGGATTTTTTTTTTTTTTAACTTTCATACGTGCGGAAATTCACACATTTGTTATTAAGAGATCAAATGGGGAAAGATCCGAATCTTTAGATGGTTATAGGAATAGAAGTGGATGGGGTTAAAGGGTGGAGTTTGATGTCTTTACGGGGTGACCTGACCAATATTTTATGTTTGGTGTTTCCACGGGCATGACGATTATTTTATGTTAGAAGTTTTTTGCACGTGTAGAATATTCGATTTAGCATCTCACCATGTATTTTTATATTCACACTTGTATTCACTGGCCATGTGAATAATCTTTATTGCATACACATCCTCTTTTCTTCCTACAATTTATGTTACAGATTGTTTAAAATTTTAAAGATTATTTTTATTTTAAATATTTTTATAATAAAAAAGTACAGCTATTTGTGCCCAGACTTTAAAAATTATATAATATTTTATCTTAAAAATAAATATTTTTTTATTCTGATTAATATAAATTATTATTAGTAGTATTCATGTCATAAAAAAATTCATTTTTAAACACAACTAAAAATAAATCCCCTTTTATTTTGACTTTTCTAGGGGAAAATTATTCGGTGAGTCTAATACGTCCTTCTTATTTCTCTTTCAAAATAAATATAGAGAAATTTTGATACTTGTTATTTTCTTTTCTTTTCCTTTTGTTTTTTTTTCCTTTAATTCCATTCTTGTTAAACACAGTGTAAGTAAGATTGTATTAATATATATGATAAGTCAAAGCTTAAAATGGATAAGGACTTGTATTTCATGGATTGGTCTTTGTTTCTTTCTTGCCTTTGAGTCAACCAATTGATTTTTTTTATTTTTTATTATCGAAACAATTTTAAATACCCACCAGAACTCACATAACCTTCCCATGAAAACAAGTTATGAATTTTTTTTTCTCACATTTTATTTCTTGGGATTTTTCTAGTTGCAAAAATTAATGAAAAACGCGAGACATTTTAGAATTTATAGTGTCACGCTCAATCTATGTATTGAGTTTGAAAAATAAAAAATAAAAAAAAGTCAGTCCCTCTGTATGTAGTATGCATTAATTAATAAATAATTGATATTAATTATTCACTAAAGGATCTTATTTGCTAATAGAAGAAAATTTTTTTTTCATTTATACATATTCATACTCGTTATAGTTTATGTGTTATCATTTCTCAACTTTTGTTTCTTATAAAAAAAAGTTTAATCTTCTAATCAACTAGTTTTTAACCGATAAAGTTAAATTTATATAAAATGTATATACCATGATGATAGATATTATTTAATTTATAATAAATAATATTTTACATTTAATAATTTATTAAATGATTTAATATTAATAATAAATATAAAAACAATAATTATATTTTATATACTATTAAAATTGAGATTTTAAAAACAATTACGCGATAAAATTATAAATTATAAATACATTTTTCCAATAAATTCTAACTTATTATCTATATGCTAAATCATCATGCAATGTTATAAGTAGTGTTATTAAAATAAAATAATGTACAAATAATTTTCTTTATGGTAATTTTGTTAAGTATCATGCATCCCATATTATCACCAGTATTTTTTATAATATGTATTCTTTAAAGATCAAAATATTAAAACTGAAAATTTATATGAATGAACAGAATATCATATAAACTAATATTATTTGTTATTATGAGCATCTCATGTGTAAAAGAAAAATGTAATTTTTTTCGTACGAAAACAATATTTTTAAGTAATTCACATCTGATTTTACTTCATTAGAAATTTTCTTAATAATTTTTTAAAAAAATATTCTCTTTTCTTAATTACGTGTATTTTTTGCAAGTTACACGATGAAATAACTATTAAAAAATTTAAGCAATTAATATAGGATTCTTCTAATAAAAAATTATTTTAAACAACTAATATTTTATTTAAGTAACTTCCATTAAAAATACTCTAATGGTTAAGCACTAAATAATTATATCATGATTAGTTTTTCTTAATAATTTATAATAAGATTCCTAAAATAAGTTAGACAAATGACGAATACGAATAAATACTCCTATTATTATTTATTAAATAAATAATAATAATAACAATAAATATATAATAAAAATATTCAAATATATAAAGTTAGTTACTTTTTAAGTATATATATATATATATATATATATATATATATATATATATATATATTTAAACTTAAAAAATATAAATATAATCTTAACCATTCAAATGAAGAAATAACTCATAAAAATTAAAAATATTTAAAAAATTAGTAAAAAAACATTATTTTATAACATTATTTTCTTTAAAATAATTAATTGTTATTTTTATATTTATAATTTTCATTTATATATTTGTTGATTTTTAATTATATTATTTTAAAAATAATTATAAAAAAATAAATATTTTAATATATTTTAAAACGATGAAATATTAATTTAAAATTCTTAATTTTAAAAGTTATTTAACTCGTAAATTTTAATTAATAATTATATATTTAATTTTATAATTGAAAAATATTTAATGAATTCATTATTTTAAAATAAATATTATTTTATTTTTCATCACTTTTTTATATCAAATGATCTCAAATATATTTGTTTCATTCTATTTTAATTTGTTTCATTTATTTATTGTGGAACAAACTATGTAACATGTACAAGTGTAAAGTTATAGATTTAACACTTAAATGTATGATATAATTAAAAAGTTTTGATTTTAATTTCCAAATATATTTTTTGTTTTTGGTTATAGTAAAAAAAAAGCATCTTTTATTCATAGTTTTACATTATACTAATTAACCATTAATGTGTTGAATAAAATGTTAAATCATTATTATAAACAATATATATTAATATCATAAATAATGTCAATTTAAAAATCTCATAGGTTTCATACAATAAATATTGTACATTAAAATTAAGAATTTAAGACATTGATTTAAGTTTGAAATAAATGAAAATAAAATAAAAATATTTTACAAGAAAAAAAAACTATAACTTACATATTTTGTAAATATAAAGACTAAAAATAGTAATTTTAAAATTATAGATGAAAACAAAGAAAAATAATTTTCAGATACGATAATCAAAACTTGTTAATTGTAAGTGTACTAAAAGTTCATTAAAATATAGATTTAAATTTTAGTGTTGGTATAAAAGAATAAAAAACAGTTTTCACCTGTTAGAATGATTTCATACAGTCATCAATTGTGTATAAACTGAATGGTTGGTAGATTATCTAATAATAATAATAGTCACATTTCTAATATAATTCACACGAGTTATGTTTGTAACATGTAAAATAAAAAATTAGATGTTGGTATAATTTTTAAGCAATATTTATTTATTATAATCTAAACAAAATTATTTTATTTTTTCATTTATTATATTTTATTTATTTTTATAAATTATATGGTAAAATAATTACAAAAAAAGTAAACAATTTATCCTTTTAAGTAAATAATTTATTTAAACTTCTAAATAAACATCTCACATTAAATATATTCTAAGAAAAATATTACAAACCCGTTTTTGTACTCATACATTTTATTGATTAAAAATTATAACAAATTATATATAACAACATTTTTTTTTACATGTTCTCAAATCTTAAGTTACTTAAAAAAAATAAAAAAATTATAGATGTTGTTTCTATTTAAATATTAATGTATATTTTAAGGATAAAATTATAATATATTATTATCTAAAAATAATAATATTATTATTATTATAAAAAATATAAAATAGAAGAAAATAATTACGCAGTATCTTGGTGGCAGGTTGGGTTGAGAAGGAGGGTTTGGTGAGATGATGAAAGGGTGGTGCATGTAGTGGTAGGTGAAAGATGTGTTTTGTTATTGATATGTTCACCATTAATTAAGTTTAATTAGTTAATTATATGATTTGTGGTTCATAATAATCACTGATGATGCTTACACTACCTCTAACTTATGTATATGTAAATCTCCACTGCATCGTCCTTGATTATTAATTACTTATTCCTTCACTATCTTTTTTTATTTCTCTTTTCTGTGGCCACATGTTCATGCAATTGTTGGATCTTCACAGGTTTTTTATTTATTTTTTATATGATATTTATAGATTCACTCTTTTTGACTATGATATTTATAGATTTACTCTTGTTCAAATGAAAAAATTGTGCATATTCCTCTATTTAAATTTAGGAAGAATGGAAAAGTAATTAAGACATAAAAAATTAGTGATACTGAATGAAATTTATTCTAGGATAATACGGGCTATGTGTTTGAATAGTTGTGAAAGCAAGAATAAAATTTAATTAAGTTTTGTGTACCCAACACACTTTACAAAATTATAAATAAAATATTTCAATTACCATTAAACGTGATATCTATCCTTCTTCACAGTCCACTAAATAAGTAAATTAACTTAAACATGTATTTTTTTTTTTATGCTAAAAGCTTCAGCATCAACTAATCCCAAAACACCCAATCAATTAACTAATCCAGAAAACATCCAATCAATATCATTTCAACTATGACTCTTGGTCATATACATCCATAACTCAACCACAACACCAATTCCAACTTCAACAATCAAAACAACACACAACTTAAACAATCTACAATTCCAACAATTTAAATATCTATGACTAAGAGTACTATTGTGATACTACAACTTCTACTCTTTCCTACCTAAATGAGCATGTTTACAAAAAATATTAATCATCAAATTTAACATATAAGGAACCTAAACCAGTATATATTCATAACTTTTTTCTAAAAGGCTACATAAAAACACCTCAAACCCTTTTTAAGATTTTGATCCATAAAAAAAAAATATATATATATATATATACTCTGTACTGGCTTTACTAGAACAAATTCAAATCTTGAAATAAATTAATGAAAATTTCAGAATATTAGATAAAAGTATGAATTTTTATTGATAAATAAAAAAAATTATTTAAAAAGAAAAATTTATATGCATAAAAGAATAAAATATTTTAGAATTTGATAAATATTTTATATAAATAAAAAATAAAAAATATTCCTTTATATATATATATATACATATAAAACTTAAAAAGAATCTCATTCTTTAGGTAAATTATACTTTATCATACAACTAAAACGGTTGCAAAATAATTATTCGTCACATTATTTAACAAATTAAATAAATAATCAATCATATATATATATATATATATATATATATATATATATATATATTATTTTTAATCCATCAATAAGTATTTTAATAATAAAATTATTATAAATTTAAGTTTTAAAATAAATAATACTTTGATATTATCACATGAATTTGGAACATTCTCTTAAAAGCAAAAATCATAAAATTTCGAGTTATTATTATTTATTTCTTAAGCATTTATATTTATTTTAAATTAACAAATTATGATCTGCACTGCACTTTACAGAAAGGACCAGATTCCGATTTTCAGAACATGGACACCGAAATTCAATATAGAAAAGAAAAAACGTAACCTATCGCAATTACCTCCATGGAAAACAGGTTGCGAATAGAAGAGATCGTGTTGAGAGAATGCAAAACAGAAGGCACCCACCATCTCAAACTGAAGACAAACGCGCGTTTGTGTGAAACCCTAAAATGTCCCGAAAGCATTTTCGTCTCCACCTTCACACTCCGTGGAAGAAGCACTATCAGTTTCCACTTCCACGTAACGTGGTTACCCTCTCCGACGGAGTTCAACAACCCTCAGACGCCTCCATAGCCAAACTAGTCCTCGAATCAGACCCACTCACTCTCTACGAGGCCCTATCCAGACCCACGGTCCAATGGGCCCCCGAGCTCGTCAACAAGGTCTTGAAGCGCCTCTGGAACCACGGGCCCAAGGCCCTCCAATTCTTCAAACATTTGGACCGCCACCCTTCCTACATCCACTCCTCCTCGTCGTTCGACCATGCCATCGACATCACGGCCCGCATGCGCGACTACAACGCCGCGTGGGCCTTAGTGGGCCGCATGCGCTCCCTCCGCTGCGGCCCAACTCCCCGAACCTTTGCCATCCTCGCCGAGCGGTACGCCGCGAACGGAAAACCCCACCGCGCCGTCAGAACCTTCCTCTCCATGCACGAGCACGGTTGCCGCCAGGACCTCAACTCCTTCAACACCGTCCTCGACGTCCTCTGCAAATCGAAGCGCGTGGAAATGGCGCACACGTTGCTCAAAACGCTAAGATCCAGATTCAAACCCGATTGCGTGAGCTACAACATAATCGCCAACGGTTATTGCTTAATCAAACGCACGCCGATCGCATTGAAGGTTCTGAAGGAAATGGTGCAGCGAGGGATAAACCCTACGATGGTCACGTATAACACGTTGCTGAAAGGGTATTTTCGGAGTAATCAGATTAAGGAGGCTTGGGAGTTTTACTTGGAGATGAAGAAGAGAAAGTGCGAGATTGATGTTGTGACTTACACGACTGTGATTCACGGGTTTGGGGTAGCGGGTGAGGTTAAGAAATCTCGTAGGGTTTTTGATGAGATGGTGAAGGAGGGTGTGGCACCTGGTGTTGCCACGTGTAATGCGTTGATTCAGGTCTTGTGTAAGAAGGATAGTGTGGAGAATGCGGTGGTGGTTTTTGAGGAGTTGGTGAGGAAGGGGTTGTGTGTGCCGAATTTGGTTACTTACAACGTTGTTATCAGAGGTTTGTGTCATGTTGGTGACATGGAGAGGGCGTTGGGGTTTATGGTGAGAATGGGGGAGCATGGTTTGAGAGCTAGTGTTCAGACTTACAATGTTGTGATTAGGTACTTTTGTGATGCTGGGGAGATTGAGAAGGGTTTGGAGATGTTTGGGAAGATGAAGGATGAGTCTTGCTTGCCCAATTTGGATACTTACAATGTTCTGATTAGTGCCATGTTTGTGAGGAAGAAGTCGGAGGATTTGGTGATGGCTGGGAAGTTGTTGATGGAGATGGTTGATAGAGGGTTCTTGCCGCGGAAGTTTGCTTTCAATAGGGTGTTGAATGGACTTGTTATTACTGGGAATCAGGATTTTGCCAAGGAGATTCTGAGAATGCAGAGCAGGTGTGGTCGTGTTGTTCGGCGTTTGAAATTGTGAGATGTTTAATTGTTGGATTTGGTGAGTTGTTGTTTCTTTTTCTGGCGTTTTTTAACTTTTAGAAAAGTTTCAATTTTTTTTTCTGTTCTTGAGGTTATATTGCTCTCTGCTCATTTGTGTCGTCTGGTCTGTGCTAATGTAAGTTACTTGAAGGAACACAATTCACTTGGTTTTGAAACATCGAAAGTGTCTGGTGCATTCAATTGAAGGGCATGTAATTTTGATGAAGTTTCTATGATATGGGGAACTCACTGGCGATGAACCCACCACTGCTGAAAATCATGCTTTCAGGGTCTCATCCAGGTTCGTTTCAGTGTTCCATTTCGATTTCCTTTTTCTATCTGTGTTTTTGAACAGATAGTTATTTTAAGTGTAGATTTCAATGTGTTGCTGACACTATATGTTTAATTTGAATTTTCATTGATTCTGACCTTGGTATATTTCAAGTTTCAATGTGACATGTTGCAGAAACAGTTTTATTTTATAAGCATTTTTCTCTGATGTTATTCCTGGATCTGTATATATAGTACAAGGGTATAGACTCTGTTATTTGGCATTTAGGAGATTACTTCGATTTTTTTTAACAAAATCAATATGTGAAAGTCTAGACAATCGTTAGTGGTTAGGGCACTTGCAAAACTGGCAAAGATGGTTAGGAATTGAGGAGGCTGACAATGTAGTTATCATGTGTCTATGAGCTACTACTAATTTTAAATTAAAATTTTAGCTGTTGGAGGTTGTGAGATTTGCCGTCCGTGATTTTTTTCAACTTTCATGATAGTCATGTTGTAGCTTTTAAGAAAGCAGGAAAGTTGAAAGTTTTATAATAAATGTAACTACTGTTCTAAGAAAAAGGTGCATATATTATATAGGAGCTTGTGTGAAAAACGGAGGAGATGCTAGATATTCAAATAACTGCTAGAAACAAATTCTTTATTTTAATTTTCTTAAAATAATTCCCATTGTGGCTTATTTTCTGTAGCCTTTGAGTGTGTATATGCAAGTACACCTTGACCAATTGGCACGTAGGTGTACAACCAAGCTTGAAATTTTGATAGCAGTGTATATAAATCATAAATTCTTCAGCCAGTATTTTTATAGTTTGCGTTGATATGTATGCATATGTAAGTGGATATGATATATATACTACTATATCTAAAAGGCTCTTCCTCTTTGCTGAAAGTGGATCGTTGCTTCTTGGATGAGGCTAATGTTGTACATTAGAGGGATGTTTCTTTTGAAATGCTTTAAGCTGCATTAACTCCTTTGAGCAAACACTGTTCCAATTTGAGTTTAGACATCTTTTTCAAATGATATACTTAATAAATGGAATGAAAAAAGAGGATAACTTGCCAGGATGATGGAGCATTTAGAGGGCTATCTGGCTATAAGCTACTTGTTTAGCAGATTATACACCTTTTGCTTTAACTGCATTTTATGTGCTCTTCAATGTACAACATGATATTGAAAGCCAAAATTCACCATTACTCATATTAATCGATGTGGCTAGTTACGCAAATTGTAAACCACAATTAGCCAACTGTGAGTGAGTGCTAAGCTAGTGTCTACAATTTGATCATATTTCAGGCCTGAAGATGCTAGAACATTGAAATCTATTTGCCCGATACAAGATTGGCTTGACATTTCCTGGCTGAAGAAGTAGGACAAATTTGGGTTTGTTGACTGACTCTTGGGGAATGCTGGCCCATTTGCTGAAGGAAATTGAATTCTTCCTGCTCTTACAATTCTAGGGTTTATAAGAAAGACCACACCCGTTACAATTCCTTCAAGCATATTCAGAATTCACCTGTTGCTTTTCGTATGTGTTCTGCAGATGATCCAGTGGCACCATCCTTCAGAATAGAGGTGGATTCTTTAATGCAATAGCTGTCAGCCTGTTACGGTCACCTTCCATTGTAACTTGGGATAAGCTTGATCAATCAAGTACTGTGTAATTGCCTATGCAGGGATGATGTTGGGAAAGATAACGATGGAACTCTAAACACAACTATCAACAAATTCATCTTCCTTGCATCCCAATTTAGTCTGATGTAAATTCAACTATTTTGTATTTAAAAATTATCTGTAATCTCTCTTTTGTATTATTTGTTACGGAGAATTTATTTTGTAGTGATCAAATCATGGTATTTGATCAAATAGGCACTTCATTTTGTTGAGGATGATGGCAAACAATTCATTATTTAATCTCTTTAGATGTAGAGATCACTGAAGTGGATATATTTAAACATGGTTATCATGTAGAATTGTTTGTTTGAGGTTATTTAAAAACATGTATGTAGATAATGCTTCTGTAAATAATAATAGACACTTGCTAAAGAAAGTAATATGCATTCACACTTATAAGAGAAATAATATTTTCATACCACTGTTACTTTTAAACATTCAATTAACAACTAATAATTAAATAATAATAAACATCAAAATATAAACTTTTGTCATTATAAAATTAGTAAAATTAGTTGTTGATAAGATATATTTTTGATGGAAGTTGTCAATATATCACTTCTCCACCTATACTACGAGGAAAATATAAATAAACCTTTAACATCTACAAAAAAGAATGCTATGAATGAAACACTTCGATTACTCAATCCAAATGAAGAATCTTATAAACATCGGACATTTAACTGAAGTAATGAAGTTTTGAAAAATTAAAATACATATCATCAAAACTTGTTAAAAAATTGGTGTTTAAGATGAGACTTTATTGGTGTGTGAATTTTGAGAACAAAAAGTTAGGGACTTTTTTTGTTTAACTTCGTTTTTCACCCAAGTTTTACTGATTATGTAGTGATTAAAATATCGTTGTGGTGTCCAATCAAAAAGAAAAATATGCAATTCCCCTAAATCTACGGTTGAAGAAGATGAATTTAGGTAAAATGGGTTCTCCCACAAAGCTATCTTCATCAGATTTTTAGTTGGATGACTTGGATTGGGTCCAACAGACATCAAATCAAGGTGGTAGGTTGGGCAATACTTGATCCACAATTAAACAAATTTTCGTAATTTGGTAAACCCAATTAGATTAGGTTAGGATAGAAAAACATTAAATAAAAAAATGGGAAAATATTAAAAGAAATAAAATCAAAAATGAAATTGTTGAGAGTGGGATTTGAACCCACGCCCTTTCGGATCAGAACCTTAATCTGGCGCCTTAGACCAACTCGGCCATCTCAACTTTGTGATAAAATTTGCTATTCTATTATCTAACTATAGTACATTAAAATTAAGCATGTCATTTCTTTCGACTAAGGGTGTAGTTTAGTTATATATTAAAATAAACTAAAATATATTAACATTTCAATATGTTGTAATATGTTATCTTCTCAGAATGATATTTTAATGTCTTTTTTTATTGATTGTAGGATTTGTTTTTGGACACGATAGGCGTCTATCTTTTGAGTTTATACAATAATTTTTCTTCTTCTCTTTCTAATAATGAAATCACTTGAAACTTATGTTAGGGTTCTTCAATTCAAGTTTAACAAATAAATAAAAAAAACTTTGGGATGTGTTCTTTTAGTGTCATAAAAATTTAGGAAAATTATAGGTGTTGACTAATCCATCATCTAATATTGTTTTCAACAAATCAAGCGATGAGACTTTAGGTTTAATAGTTGGAACTTGTGATGGTACATTGTTCTCATTTGAAACTTTAGGTTTACAATTTCCTAACCCTTAAAAGTTTTTAAAAGATGTTTGGAAATTATGAGACTTCCATCCATATTTTCTTTCACAAGTTAATATTTTTTTTAGCAACGATATAATTTGGATTTGAGAAAAATCACCAATTTATAATATTGCAAACTCATGAACAATATTTCATCCTATTATGATTGAAATGGTGTTTATAGTTTTTGGGATGGAAAAACTATAAATATAATAAATATTTTCTCTCCTTAATATCAGTTCTACTATGTTTTTTTTTTCCTTTTTTTTTATCTAATCACTAATAAAAATTTGTTTGAAATATCATTATGAAACTCATGGTTAAATAAACATCAGAGCAGTAGAATTCTTTCTCTATTTTTTTTATTTTTTATACTTTATATTCATATTTTTCTTAATAAGAAAGAAAATATGTTAATCTTATATTCATTATAATAATATCGTTATAATTTATTCTCAAATTTAAGATATTGTTAATTTTAAAATTCTAATTTATCACAATTTCTTCTTTAAAACAATAGATTAAAATAGAAAAATATTCATAAACTATTTTTGACTTCTACTCTTAAACGATACGAGATTAATAAACCTATCAAAACCCATCATAAATTTGAGTATGAATAATTTTCTATTCAACTCAATAAAAAATTACTTAATTAAAATATAATGTCTAAGATAATACTATAACTAAAACAAAAAACATAATTAAGGAAAAATAATGCTACCTCATAGGTAAAAAAATCACACAAAAAAAACGAGTTAAGATTAAAATCGAAAAGATCAAGTTATATATATATATATATATATATATATATATATATATATATATATATATATATATATATATATTATTATTACTGGAAGGCAAGTGACATTTGGGCTTAGCAAAATTGTAATGATACCCAAAAGATTAACTTGTTGACAGTGGATTGGGCTTGGCCTGGTCTACGCTTCTAAATTTTAGCATGTAAATCAAAATGGAAAAAAACGTTAATAAATATATATATATATATATATATATATATAAACGAAAGTAGTTTATTTTGCGAGGGAAAATAAGAAATGTAAAAGATAATTATTCAAATACAATATATAACATTCTCAAAAATATTAGTATATACTCACTTTTTAATTATTTGTCCATTAAGTGATTCTCACAATAATGTACAAATTTGTTATGCAGGTAAAATAGAAAATATTAAAGTTTCTGTGACTTGGGGAAATCACTTCACATTTAATAATTAGTTTCAATGTTTTCAGATTCAATAGTGGATTTGAAAAGAGAAAAAAATGAATGAAAAACAAGAGAAACATAATAAAAAGAAAATAAAACTATTTAGATTAAGAAAAATAAAATAGAAAAAAGAAAAAATATTAAAAATTATGATTAATTTGAGAGGATAAAAAATTTAGTAATTATATAATTTAATGAATTATCATGCAGAGTTAAAGTTTAATAAAAATTAAAAAACGGTAAAAATTAAATATTATTGTTTTATATTTACTATCAAAAAATTTATTATCAAAATTTAAATAATTTGATATATTATTAAAAAATTATTTCATATTTTAAATTATTTATATTTATTATAAAAAGTGAAAAAAAAATAAAAAAAAACATGTTGTAATGTATTATGAATGTCCCATAAATATTTACAATTTTAATAGTGTATTAAGATTTTAATATTTATGTACATGATTTATAGATAACTTTAACGAAAATGCAATAAAAATATATGAGACCATAGTTAATGTTAAATTCGAAAAAGATTCTAGAAGATTTTTTTTTATAAAAAATATTTTACAATATTTAATTAAAAAATGTTATACTAAAATCTTTAAATTTAAATTACAAAATCCTAGTCACAAACTATTATAATGAAAATCCTTTAAAACAATCTTTACATTCTCACAGCATCTTTTAATATACACATAATTTTTTTAATATAATTGTAAAAAAAAAAACAAATAAATACATCCTTTACCCTTAATTGTTAAAATATTTAGTTCTTAAATCTCACTTATAATTATTTTGATTTTATACTGTCTTTATGTGTTAAGAATATTGAATTAGTTGATGAAATTAAAAAAAAAAAAAATGTTAGGGTTAGAGAGTGAGAAAAGATTGCTGAAAAAAGAGTGACAATTATCTGGGACTGCATTGCAGAATGCAGAAGGAAAGATGCAGAAGAAGTGAAGTTGAGCATCGTAAATTGTTTGGGGCATTTCCAATACTTGTGGTGTCATCACAGAGCTCAGAATCAGCGAAACATTAACCCCGAAGACCAAGTTGTACAATGTTGTTACTGCACAGTATTCGTGCTGACACGCATTAAAAAAAATAAATATATATATATATATATATTAAAATAATTATTAAATATTAAAAAAAAAAATTTTATCTCTTAATTTTTATATTTAAATTTATTATAATAAACTTATTTATAATTAAAAAGATATAAATACACTAGACTTAACAAATAAATTAAATAATAATTTTTGTTTCGATCCTAAGTAATAATATATATATATATATATATATATATATATATATATATATATATATTTAATATACTGAAATATTTTTTTAAATACATTCATCGTAATATCATTGTAATAATCACGAAGTTAACATACATTCAGAACAGTTTTAAAATAAAAAACCTTTATTGTTAGGTTTAGAATTTCGATTTTTTTAAATAATTTACGATTGAATAAAAATAATTTAATCCAATCTTAGGTTTAATATAAAAAATTCAAAAATTCGATCCAGCACAATTTAAAAAATTTGATTAGAATAGGTGACGGGAGTAGTAAAAAAAAACGACCCCATTCAGTAAATATTTTTAATAAATCATTTTATACTCAGAACTTGCTCTTTTATAATAAAAAAAATATAATATAAAAATATTAACATATCTTATAAAATAATGATTAAGTAGTTATATATATATATAAAAATATTATCAAATAAATTTTTCATTTTTATTTATAATAATATTTAAAAGATTCTTCTTATAATCATATAATTTATATATATATATGTTCACTTCTATCATCCTTTCTCTTCATTTTCTCTTCAATTTTTTACTCTTCTTAAAACTCTATTATGTTTCATAATTTTAAAAGTAAATATTTATATATATATATAATATTAAATTATAATAAAAATAAACATAATAATACAGACACACAAACATGTATTTCTATCTGGTAAAAATGAATGGAAAAGTTGAACAACAAATAAGAAAATAAGACCCATAACCTAATGCTTTAAGATTTTAGGTTGAGAGTGATGTCAATCCTTATATCAGTTGGGTTTATGTCTTATTGGTGTGTTTCTCCCCTGAATCTTCTTGAAATACTCAACAAGTGGTATCAGAGTCGAAAGCTCATGTCTCATTGGTGTGTTTCTCCCCTCTGAATCCCCCAACAAGTGGTATCAGTTAGTTTCTAATATTGTTGTGACAGAAAAACATGCATAAGTCATGGCTAAATATCAGGGATCTCTATTCCTAAAGAATAGGTATTTTATTTAATTCAAAAGTAAACTAATAACTGCACTGTATTATACGTGGATAATAAATATCCTAACAATCCTTCCCTTAAACCAGAAATCAGTTTATATCTTCAATTTTGCACATGCCAAGCTTTTCCCTTAGTGTTATGAAAATTTCTAATTTCAAAGTTTTCATAATATCTGCCAACTGCTCCTTAGTACCACAGTGGACCAATTCAACTTTTCCTTGATTTGTTAATTCCCAGAGGAAATGAAAACGAATATGAATGTGTTTGCTTTTGCCATGCATAACATGATTTTTGGATAGTTTAATAGTTAAACTATTGTCACAGAAAATAATGCATTTGTCTTGCTTATTTCTCAGCCTCTCAAGTACACACGTATCATCCAAATGCTTTGGGCAGCATATGCTGCTGCAACAATAAATTCAACCTTAGTTGTGAATAATGATACCACTGACTACTTCTTAAAACTCCAAGTAATTATTCCATTTGACATTTTAAAAACATACCCAGAGGTGCTTTTTCTGTCATCTAAATCACCAGCATGATCGCTATCACAATATGCTATCAAATTCTCTCCTCCTTCCCTTTTATAAAACAGTCCCAAATCTATAGTTCATCTCAAGTAGCGTGGAACTCTTTTTGCAGCTTGATTATGCAAGGTTGTTGGTGCCTCCATGAAACGAGCTAATAAACTCAAAACATACATTAAATCTGGTCTTGTGATAGTTAAGCACATGAGACTACCTATCATTTGTTTATATGTGGTAGCATCAACCTTCTGTCCTCCTATGTCCTTTGTGAGTTTGCATCCTAGAAAATTGGATTTTTCACAGCTAAACAATTTTGTAATCCAAATCTTTCCAATACTTCATTGGCATATTTTCTTTGACAAATGAAAATGCCACTAGGAGTTTGTGTGACCTCCACTCCAGGAAAATAGTGCATATTTTTCATTGAATATTTAATTCTTCAAACACATGTTCTTATTGTTATCTATGAAAATAAGATCATCCACATATAAATTAACAATAAGAACATTAATATTGCCTTCCCTTTTAATAAAGAGAGTATGATCAGTCATGTTCCTTTCAAAACCTTCATTGATAAAGTATGACTATATTTTGTTGAACCAAGCCCGAGGGACTTGTCTGAGTCTATAAAGAGCCTTTTTGAGTTTGTAGACTTTGTTTTCAGCATAACCCTTTGTTTGTTTCACATATACTTCTTTTGCTATTTCTCCATGTAAGAATGCGCTTTTGACATCAAGTTGATGAACTTGTCATCCCCTACCTACTGCAATAGGCAAAATCAGCCGAATAGTGTCCCAGCAAGAAACAAGTGCAAACATCTCAGTGTAATCAATGCCAGCTTGTTGAGCATATCCTTTAGCCACGAGTCGTGCCTTACACTGGTCAATTTCACCTTTTTCAATCATCTTAGTCTTAAAAATCCACTTGACATCAATCTTCTTTACTCCTGGTGGTAGATCAGTGAGCTCCCAGGTGTCATTCTTTTGATTGCTTCAATTTTATTTTTCATAACATCTCTCCATACTCGACTTTTAGCTGTTTCATCAAATGTGAGAGGATTATTGGTCACAAGCATAACGAGTTGCTGCATTTCCTGGGTGAGTTGTTCAACATCATCAACTTCTTCCTCTTCGGATTCATAGTCCTGCATCCATATTGGTGGTTTTTTGTTGCGTTCTGGGACTCTGCTGCTTCTTATAATTTATGAACTCTCAGCAATTTCAGCATCTGTTTTGCTGGTGGTTCCCGAGTCAATATCAGTTGCTTCTGGTTCATCACATATAAGATCATTAGTGTTGTGGCTTTCTTCCGATGTGCTCCAATCCCATGTTTCCATTTCATCGAACACAACATCACGACTAATTATTATTTTCTTTGTTTCTGGATCATACATACAATAGGTTTTGGATTCTTCACTAACTCCCATGTACACATATTTGAAACTCTTCTCATCTAGATTTTTACGGGTTGCATCAGGAATATGAACATATCCTATGCAACCAAATACCTTAAGGTGACTCACTGTTGGCTTTCTTTCTTTCCATGCTTCTTCTAGTGTCATATCTGTCAAAGCTAAGGTAGGACATTTATTGATAACATAGGTTGTTTGATTTGCTGCTTTTGGCCAGTGCTTTTGTGGAACCTCACGAGCTATAAGCATGCACCTTACCATATTCATTAATGTGTGATTTATCCTTTCAGCCACTTCATTTTGTTGTGGGGAATAAGTGGCAGTGAGTTCTCTGGTGATGCCATGAGCACTATAGTAGTCATTAAATTCTGAGGAACATAATTCTCCTCCTCTGTCAGTTTGTAGGCACATTATTTGTTCATGTTTCGTTCTTCACACATGACTTGAACCTTTTGAATGTGTCAAAGGCTTCTGACTTGTCATGTAAAAAATAAGACTACCTTTTTCTATTATAATCATCTATAAATGTTAGAATGTACCTCTTATGGCTTTGAGACTCTGGATAAATTGCACCGCATATATCTGAATGAATAAGTTGGAGATGTTTGGATGCTCTCCATGCACTTTTCTTTGGGAAAGGATTACGTTGTTGCTTTCCACTCATGCATATGCTGCACATTTGGGACTGGTTCTTCAATATAGGCAAGCCATGAACCATTGTCTATAAGCCAAAGTGCGCAATCCTTTAATATTAAGGTGCCCAAACCTTTGATGCCATAGGCTTGTAGTATTATCAAAAGCAATATTATAACATGAGGCTAGTGATGTGTCAGGAGGAATGGATACTAAAAGTATAAACATGTGATTGACAGTTACCATGGTTCTTATAATCAAACCTTTCGTATTGTGATAAATATTGCAACATATATTATGAATTAGAATGGACAATTCCCTTTCTTGTAGTTGACCAATACTAAGTAAATTAGATTTAAGGTCAGGAATATAAAATACCTCTGTGATTACCACAATTCGTCCATCTATTTTGAGTCGAATTGTACTTTTTCCCATGACATCTAACTTATGAGAATCATTACCCAATTTGACGATGTGCCTGAATGACTGGTCTAGTTAGGTGAACTATTTTTTTTCTGCATTCATATGGTTGCTACAACCACTACAAAAAAAACCCTATTACCTACGGAATATTACCTACGGATACAAATCCGTAGGTAAATTTTACATTACCTACGGATATTACCCACGGATAAAAATCCGTAGGTAAATTTTACATTACCTACGAATATTACCCACGGATGAAAATCCGTAGGTAAATTATACATTACCTACGGATATTACCTACGGAATTCTATCCGTAGGTAATTATCCATTACCTACGGATATTATCCGTAGGTAATGTAATCTGTGGATAATTCCGTAGGTAATTACCTATGTAATTACTATCCGTAGGTAAAGTGTACATTACCTACGGATATTACCTACGGAATTCTATGCGTGAGTAATTATCCATTACCTACGGATATTATCCGTAGGTAAATTATATTAAACTAAAAGAATTGTCACTAGCAAGAATCGAACCCAGTACCTTAAAGTTGAAAACTGATACTTCAACCACTAAACTATTAGGATATTCTAATAATAATTTACAACTAAATTATACTTATATTAATTCATGTAAATATATAAATATATAAATATAAAATATATAAATATATAAATATAAAATATATAAATATATAAATATAAAATATATAAATATAAAATATAAAAATATAAAAATATATAAATATATAAATATACAAATATATAAATATACAAATATATAAATATACAAATAT